CCTTTGAGGGGGGGTGGCGGTGGGGGGGGGTGCCTTGTCGTCTGGGTGTGCATGTAGTTGCAGCTCTCAAAAAGTTCATTATCTAATGAATAGATAATGGTCCCCGCTGAGCGGGGACCCTGGAATCTCTTCTTCTAGCAGCGCTCAGCTGCTGAGTATGAAGGGGGAGATATCCGTGGGAAGTGCTAGGGGCAAGTGCAGATATGGCATGGAAAATCCTAGGTTGGGCTGCCCCATAGAAAGGAAAATGTCGAGTGGGCAAAGGCGAGGATGAGATGAGATTTAAGGTGGAAATACAGCTAAATGTGTGAGCCCTGAGTGTGGTGACCCAGTGACCTTAGCAGATGAATGTAAGCTTTGAAGGGGTAAACGGCGGGATGACAAATAAAAATGAAGAGCTTATGTAAGTGAGATCACTACATTGCTCCAAATAAGGTTTACTCAATTTTTAGCAGTCCCTCGGCAGACTGGCTTTTGGCTGAACTGAGCTTAGACATGTACTGCCTTCAGCTTTACAGGCTGGGTGGGTATTACTTTCCACCTTCATGTGCAGGAACTGTGTTGTGCAGCAGTGAAGCTGTAACTCGCCAGAGAGACTAGGAGAGGGTTTAAGTCAGTCTCCACCCAAAAACAAAACAACCAACCAGAAACCTACTATAGGATCTCCCTTAGGAATGCAGGGCACCTTGTGTGTTTGTAGTTCTTGAAAGTTCTGGCAGAATAGTCCTTCTTCAGATTTTAAACACTGAAAACTGATCCACCATTTCTGGCTTCTCAATCTTGCATCTCATAAGTAACTTCTCAGCCTAATGGCTGTTTCGATTGCTGAGCTGAAATGACAGTGTTAACTTTACTGCATTAAAATTCCATGTATCTGCACAAAATGTCTGAAAAAGCTACTCTTTGAGCACGTTTAGTTCAGTTAAGAGTGCTAAAATCTGTTAATCTTAATGCTATGTTTTCTTCCAGGCAAGAATTCATATGAGCCCTAAGCAGAATTTGCAGTATGGTTGGCTGGCTTATATGTTGGGAGACAGAGCTACTAAAAAGTTCAAAGAATACAGCAAAATTTTTACAGTGGAGGGCAACTTATCTTCTGGGAAGGGCAAGCTTGCACAACAACTAGCAGAAAAATTAGGTACATCTTTTTTTTTTGTATATATTTCTGTAGTATTTGATACAATTTCATAGTGTAATTATCATTCTTGTATAAAGAAAATTGGTTCACCAAACCAGCAATTCTTGACTAGCAAAGTACTAGTTAGGCAATGCCACTGTTAATGTGGACCGTTTATAGATAAGGGGAGACTAAAATCTTGGTGAGGTTTGTGCTCTTGTCAGATCTGCGGGATACATGTGTCGGTATTATTTGTTGTGGATAAAATTTTAGTTCTAATGAGCTCAGTTTTCTCACTGAGCTCCTACCTAAAAAGAGATTTTTAGGTAGGGTTTTCCTTATTGGTGTTGTCATAGCATGAAGGGAGGAGTACAGAATTAATGGCAAAAAGGTTCTGCTTAGAACAGTAGCTTAGCTCTCATTGTAAAGGTGGAAGGTAGTACTTTTAATTAGGTTTTGTCCACCTTGTGACTTGGTTGACCAAAGGATTGTATATGCTGTTTTCAAGTGTTGTTTAGATTAGAGCTATTTATTTAAATAAACTGAATAGGCAATATTTATAGTAAACAAACAAAACTTACTCTCTTAACAGGTGTTCTGTTTTGGGGGGGGGTTTCTTCTTTTCTGTCAGGAATGAAATATTTCCCAGAAGCAGATATTCATTATCTAGACAGAATCACAGGAGATGGAACACTGCTGGATGAGAAATTTAATGGCTTTTGTAGCCTAGAGAAATTTTACAATGATCCAAAATGTCCTGATGGAAATTCGTATCGACTGCAGGCTTGGCTGTTTGGTAACCGTGTTTTACAGTATGCTGATGCGTTGGAGCATCTGCTGAGCACAGGTTAGATTTCACGGTAAAAAAAATTCATTTCTAAATTGCTTGGGAATGTGAGTTCTATCTCTGAAATACTTAAGCTGGTCTGAAGTGTTTTGCTAGTACCCAGATTTTGAAATGAAATGCTACTATGTTAAGTTTTTTAGAGTTTTTTTTCCCTTCCTAAGGGAGTATAGATTAGCAGTCCTATTAGAACAGTATCTTGTATTTTTTCTGTTAGAACAGTATCTTACGTCATCCTCAGCTAAAGAAATACATAGTAGTTAAAAATTTCATTAGTTTTAATTGGGCAATCTCTGATGATTGTATACAAAAGGCTATCTTAAATATATTGAGGCATAGCTTTCCTTTAAAGCTTTTTATGCTGAGCTAGTCTAACTCAGCCCTTCATGTGAAAGAACTGAAATCCAGGTGAACATAACCCACTGCTTTTGTCTTGAAAAGAGGCTGTGCAAATAAGACTAGAGAAGCTCTCTGATCTCCTTCAGATTCAAAACCCGTGTAGAGTTAGATAAACATGTAATGTCCAGTCATGCAAACTTGAATAAATATGTGATCTGAAAGTTGAATCAAATCTTTTCTGGTTCGCATAAATCACCAAAAATACAGGTATCGTACCGATGTATAAAGCAAAACAAAAGAAACACAATATAATGAGCTTCTCCTTTACTGAAAGGTAAAAATGAATATCTTGGAAGAGCCTCAGTTTGCTTAAGCTATCAGTTCTACAGCCTTATAAAACTCTCCCTAGGCTTTGTTCCTGACAGCATCTTTTTTTAGTCATTTTGACTTCATTGAACACTGTTCCTTGATGGTATTGTTATAATTTCTCAGTATCTTAATTATGGTGAGAGAAGCTTTTATGCATCAGCATGGATTTCCCTGTTGCTAGTGCTTTAATCACTGTTTTCCAAAAAAGGTGTGAATACCAGAAAATGTTTTAAACAAAAATGTAAATGAACTGCTTAAATGCAGTAATACTTAGCTACTGTAAGGATACGCACAATAAGAGAATATATGGATTAGGCAGGCATGTTCTGCTTAAAAATCACTATATTTGTGCAAGCAGAAAGCATTTATTTTCTTGTCTTAGTTAAAATTTCTTAGAAAAGCATTTGGAAAATTGACCATAAGAGCGTTACTGTCTTTGATTTTAATGTTGTCACAAACAATCTTTTTGGGCCTTTCTTGACTGGAACCTACTTTCAATTGCAGGACAAGGTGTGGTGATGGAGCGCTCTCCCTACAGTGATTTTGTGTTTTTGGATGCAATGTTTAAACAAGGCTACATCCACAAACGATGTGAGTTATCTGAATGTGAAAGTTATTTTGCCACAATCTCAGGCTGCAGCGTGGTAGTTTAGTATTTAAAGGAGAAACGTAAAAAGCCTGCTGGGAAGACTTATTTAAATATTCAGAGTTGTTCATAAGGAGCTTAGCATCCTAATGTTTCGTGCATCTAGGACCAGTTTCAAGCCATGGGACTTCTCACTTTTTCTTGAAGGCTTCAGTTCTTCTTATATGTTAAAGAGGATATGTTCTGCATATTGGTTATTTGTGTCCTGCCAGCCAGGAATTCCTGCAGTTCTCTATAAATGAGGGTGAACATGCTTATGAAGATCAGATGTTCTTCAGGCAGACCTTTATCTTGCAGCATTAGGTGAGAGGTAGATCGTGGGTTTGGCCTGTTTCCCTTAAACAACCAGCTCCCTTTTGAATCTCAAAGGTCTTAACAAACAAACCGTATCTTAAAAAAAAAAAAAAGACTGTTCCCCTGCCCCTCCTAAGGTGCAACATTCCTTGTAATTTCTTTTCATTTTACATAGTTTTTTTGAAAAAAATTGACTTGGTTCAGCGATACTGCTAGGTTGTTTTGGGTTTTTTTGTTCGTTAAACTGTTTTTACAGAGCTGAGAGAGGTGAGTGCTGAGGAACACCTAATAAGAGTAGGTCTTATTAGAAGAACTAGCAGACCTAATGGTCAATAAGCAAGCAGAAGCTGCAATTTTGTAGAACTGGGAATAAACCATAGAGGTTATCTGAAAAGGAATTAAAAGACACTGTCCAAGCACACAGGGATAGGGTTAGGAAGACCGAAGCCCACCTGGAGTTGAATCTGGCAAGGGATGTGAAGGGCAACAAGAAGTGCTTCTGCAAGTATATCAGCAGCAAAAGGAAGAGTAGGGAAAATGTGTCTGCTACTGAATGTGGAAGGGGATGTAGTTATGGGACACACAAAAAAGGCCAAGGTATTAAATGCCTTCTTCACCTTATTTTTTTACTGGTAAGATTTGCCTTCAGGAATCCCAGGCTCTGAAACCAGTGGGAAAGTCTGGAACAGTGAAAACTTACCCTCAGTACAAGATGTGCAAGTCAGAGAACTTTAAACAGAGCAAATGTACACAGGTCTGGGGCACCTGATGAGATGCATCAAGAGATACAGGAGTGCAGAGAGGTGTCATTGCAAGGCCACTGCTTATCTTTGAAAGGTCATGGTGGTCATGGGAGGTTCCTGAGGGCTGGAAGAATGTGAATGTGACTCAGTTTTCAAGAAGGACAAGGAAGAGGATCCAGGGGAACTACAGGCTGGTCAGCCTCACCTCAATCCCTAGGAAGGGGGTAGAGCAAAACCTCCTGGAATCCATTGCCAAACAGGAAGGACAAGAAGGTGATTGAGAATAGTTGTCACAGATTTATGATGGAGAAATCATACTTAACCAATCTGATAGTCATCATATCATAGAAGGCTAGTTTGGTGGATGAGGGGAGAGTGGTGGATGTTGTTTATCTTGACTTTAGCAAGCCTTTACAAGTGTCTCTTGTAACATTCTTAACAAGCTCATAAAGTATGGACTAGATAACTGGAGGGTGATGTGAACTGGCTGAACTGCTGGGCTCAAAGGGTGCACAGTGGTGCATAGTCCAACTGGAGGCCGATCACTTAGTGGTTTACCCCAGGGGAGGATACTGGGGCCGATACTGTTTGTTATCTTCATTTACGACCTGGATAATGGGACAGAATGCACCTTCAGTAAGTTTGCTGATGATACAAAACTGGGAGGAGTGGCTGATATACCAGATGGTTGTGCTGCCTTTCAAAGATACCTCGACAGGCTGAAGAAATGGGCAGAGAGGAACCTCACGAAGTTCAACAAAGAGAAGTGCAAGGCCCTGCACTGAGGGAGAAGTAACCCCATGCATCAGCACAGGCTGGAAAGCAGCTTTGTGGAGAAGGACCTGGGAATATTAGACAAGTTGAAAATGAGCTGGTAATGTGACCTTGCAGCAAAGACCAACAGCCTCCTATGCTGCATGAAGAGTGTTACCAGCAGATTGAGGGAGGTGATCCTTCCTCTGTGCCCAGCACCTGTGAGGTGACATCTGGAATGTTGAGTCCAGTTCTGAGCTCCCCTGTGCAAGGAGAAAATGTGGACTGACTGGAGCAAGTCCAGCATTGGGCTGTGAGGGTCATTAAGGAACTGGAATATCTCTCACATGAGGAGAGTCTGAGAGAGCTGGGATTATTTAGGGTTAAGCAGAGAAGGCTCAGGAGGGATTTTATCAATACTTATAAATTCCTGATAGGAGGGAGTAAAGAAGATGCAACCAGACTTCTCGGTGGTGCCCAGTGAGAAGGATGAGAGGCAAAGGGCACAAAGGGAAATACAGGAAATTCCACTGAAACATAGGGGAAAAAAAAATTACTGTGAAGGTAGTCAAACACCACCACAGTTTGCTTGGAGAGACTGTGGAATATCCATCCTTGAAGACTTTCCGAAAGGGAGCGGACACAGTAACAGAATCACAGAATCACAGAATGGTTGAGGTTGGAAGGGACCTCTGGAGATCATCTAGTCATCATCTGTGGTTCAGTTTCTGCCCGTTGCCTCTCGTCCTGTCACTGGGCACCATGGAGAAGAGTCTGGCCCCATCCTCTCGACATCCTCCCTTCAGATTTCTTGGACCTCTCTTCCTTCTAGGGCCCTACCCCATGAGTTTCCTCCAAGTAGGTCCCTGAGGAGGCCAGAGTTAGCTCTCCTGAAGTCCAGGGTTGCAATCCTACTTATTGCCCTGCTTCCTTCTCGCAGGATCCTGAAATCTGTCGTCTCATGGTCACTGCAGCCAAGGCTGCCCCCAACCTTCACCTCTCCAACTAGACCTTCTTTGCTTGTTAGTGCAAGGTCCAGCAGCGCACCTCTCCTTGTTGGTGTCTCCACCACCTGGGACAAAAAATTATCCTCAGTGCTCTGCAGGAACCTCCTCGACTGTTTGTGCCTAGCTGTGCTCTCTTCCCAGCAGATGTCAGGGTGGTTGAAGTCTCCCATGAGAACCAGGGCCTGTGATCGTGAGGCTACTTCCAGCTGTCTGTAGAAGGCCTCATCGACGACTTCTTCCTGGTCAGGTGGCCTGTAGTA